GGTCAATAATACTGCGTAGACTAAGTGGTGCTCGGGAGACACAAACACGAGAAAACCAGGCAGGTTTTAGGCCAGGAAGAGGGTGTATTGATCATATCTTCACCCTTCGACAGATTCTAGAACATAGGCATTCCTACCGGCATCCGACAATCACTATATTTCTTGACCTAAAGGCGGAATTCGATTCTGTCGACCGAGAGGTTCTCTGGCGATGCTTGGCTGTGAAGGGAATGCCAAGAAAATACATTGCACTGATCAAGGCACTCTACTCGAACTCATGCAGCCAGGTGAGGGCTTACGGCGAGTTGTCATCTGAAGTGGTGACGACTAGTGGTGTCCGTCAGGGATGCCCATTATCCCCATTCCTATTCAACTTCATCATAGATGTAATAATGGACTTAACCCTAACACACTTCAGCGACTCAGGGATTGACTTGCTACCAGGGAATAATCTCGTTGACTTAGAATATGCAGACGATATAGTCCTTCTAGGCGAGGACGCTGACAAAATGCAGAGTCTACTGAACACCTTGAGCAACAATCTTCGTATGTTTGGCATGCGATTCGCTCCCGCCAAATGTAAGATGATGTTACAGGACTGGACTACACTGACTCCTAGTTTAGAAATAGGGAGTGAAGTGGTAGAACACGTTGACCGCTTCAATTACTTGGGAAGTACCATCAGCCCCAACGGGTTGATCTCAGACGAAATCTCAGCACGGATACAGAGGGCTAGTTTCGCATATGCCAGTTTACGCCATCTCTGGCGTAGACGTGATATCCGACTATCGACCAAAGGGCGTGTGTACTGCTCAACAGTCCGCTCCGTCCTCCTTTATGGCTGTGAGACCTGGCCATTGAGAGCAGAAGACATGAAAAGATTAGCTGTCTTCGATCATAGGTGTCTGCGTTCTATCTCCCGCGTGAAGTGGTATAATAAGGTGAGCAATATTGAGGTTAGGCGTCGAGTGCTAGGTAAGGCGGGGAAATCAATCGACGAAACGGTGAAATTACATCGACTGAGATGGTTAGGACATGTGCTACGTATGCCTAGTCATCGCCTTCCTCGACAATGGGCAATGTTAGCTGATATAGGGCCAGGCTGGAAAAGAGCTAGCGGCGGTCAAACAAAAACATGGCACCAGTCAATGAAATCCACAACAGTTAGTCTAAGCCACGTAGGAAGATGTAGACTTCCTGGTTGGGGTCCTCGGGACGGTAAAAACCAATGGTTGGAAACAATTGGTGACATGGCTCAAAATCGTTCTCGATGATGGCGCAGATGCATCCACTCCTTGTGACTTATGATTTCCAATTAAACTGTTTTGTTCTTCGTTATTACTATTCCTTTGTCTCACACCTCTGTTTACTGTCTCTAATATGCATTTCTCCTACTTTCTTCTCTTGCTTTGTGTGCTACATGGAGTGTGGCGACTTGAACTGCCGCACATATGTGCAAAGTTCTATGTCGAAAACCGACCGACCGACATTCTGCGACTCAGGAGCACTACTGAATGGTTTGTACGATAAGAAGAAAAGAAAATATGATGCATTATGTTAGGCAGCCTAGTTGTCCAGTCAAGCCGCCAAACAGACGACAGGTGTTAATTAACAGCATCGTATTATCTCGTGCCTGCCTCAACCATACAGCGCGTGGCACGCAACTGGCCCTCATGGAAAATGCTTCCTAATGAGTTACCAGACACACATTCTTAGCAGTACTGTATATTTAAATGCAGCCATATATAAAAGGAGGCTATTGCAAATGACCAGGAAATTAAAAGCTTTAACAATTATCAAGTACAGAAGTGGTCAATACAACAGCAAATTAAGGCACAGTCTACTGAGCAGGGCAAAGTGAATTTCGGAGCAACTGGTGACAAAAGAACGTGGAATGATCTTGATGAGAATAGTCAGCCAGCAGAACTTAATATGCTAAATTTTCATGGTCACTTTTTGCATGGTATGTTAGGCAGTGAAAATCGGTGCGTCCAGTTATATACTGAAAATGATATTATTAAACAGATTTGAAGATTACACATTTAAATATGTGCACGGAAATGGGTAGCAACTGACTGAGTTGTCCATTTTTACTCGAAAGGATAGAGTTATTATGCTGTGTATAATATTAAAAGATATTGTCACCAAAATAATTTTTCTGGAAACAATTGAATTGTACTGTATAAAAATGAACAAACCTAGTAAAATGGAAGAAGACATGTTGCATAAGTAATAGAAATTCACCGCGTAAGCATTGCGTATGAACAATCTAGTTGCTTGGATTAATGGTCAGTTTTACTGTATGACTCCACATGGAGGACTGTGCTTAAACCGAGAATCATGTGATATCCCCTGTTAAGGACTCAACAGTCTTCGTTTTACCACTCTAGCAGCAGTTGTGATCTTTTAGGAAGGCCTAGAAGGATGTATTGATGTGATTTTTAGCTTCGGTTTGAACTCGTGAGGCTTTTCATAAGATCTAAATTCAAATGGTGTTTGGTACCAAAGTATGCAGCATTTCACAATGAAAAAGTTGGTCCTAATGGTTTGCTTGTTTATGCAAGAGTACTCAGCCGACAAACCATTATTTCCTAAACCACTGATCATAAAAACGATGTTTTTTCTCATTGAGATCAGTGTTCACATTAAAGAAGCTATTTGAGAGTGGTTTTATTCCTGAGAAGACGTGAAATGGTGTAAAATGAAAAGAATGAAGGCAATTTATGTAGATCCAAATGGTAAACGACGAGTGGGTCGTCAGTGCAAAGGTGATATGCTGGAGTTCATGTGGCAAAGAGGAGTAGGAGATGAGAGATTATGGCCAGTCGTAGGCTCAGCCCAGGAGGGCAGCAGAAAACAGAACAAAGTGAAGATATTTTGTTGTTGAAGCCCTATGTTCCACTAGGAACCCAAGGGAATAATACTACATTGCACTTACAAGTAACATGCAAAGGGAAATCATGCGATACAGCCAATAACAAATGCGAATTTTCAGTGCAAAATGCCAACCATAATGGTCTGATTAATAGCCATAATGAAAATATGATGGTATTTAAACAGAATGTCTTTAGTTTTGTGTAACTAGACTCTAAGACAGAAGTACGTCCAACGAGGGCTTGCCCGTTTGGTTACATAATATTTCAGTAATAAACCGTGACTGTCATGTAATTTGAACACGTTTGAACACATGGAGAACAGCCTCGAGATCCTTCTCATTTGGTTCTTCAAGAACAGCAAAGCCAGTGAAGTAATAGAGCTTTGGAGCAAACTCAAACACGCAGAGAAGCGCACCTACTTACATGGATTATTTTTGTCTTTTTAGAAAGATATCTATTATTAACTTCGTCAGTACTGACCAGTTTATTATTCACATGCATTACCGTTCAAAGTCACACCCATGTCTTTATATTATAATCATGATTTCGGATGAACAAACAGCTTACTATTTATTTTTACGTCTTCTCTAATCTTCTTGTCATTAAAGTGACTCATTTCTCTTTCAGAAGTAAAGCCAACATTATTTCTTACGGAAAGAAATAAATTTAAGGAGCTTTAACAAAATAGCCATTTTGTCACATGCAAATAAATCACCTTTTGCATAATCTGAAAGTTTGGCAAACAGACACAAACTTAGAATCATTCTGCGGTGCATTTAGCTACCAGAATGATTGGCCATCTGAAGTATCAAAACGATTAATCACCTGAAAGCAAGATATCGTGGGGTCACAGACAAATTAATATTCAACGGTTATATCCACGAAATCGCATTTTAAAGACTTATAAAAGCTGATGCCCTTACGTTACTTTTGTTTTAAAACCGCCTGGAATGTAATAGATTGTTGTTAAATCCACAAAATGATTTCCAGAAAAACCTCTCTTGTATGATATAATGGTGCATCAAGTCAGGGAATAATATGAAACCTAGGGAATTTTTCACAGATTCCGCCCAGGCTTTGACAAGGTGACTCACACATCACCCACTAAATTAAAAGGTTTGTGAGTCAAGAGCGGCCTGCTAGACCAGATCGCAGAAACCTTCGGTAGGGGAAGGAAAGTGAGGATAAGCGTGCAACTTCCTATCTAAACAACGGTACGTAGTGGTTTGCTACAAGATACTTAACTTTAAAGGACTAAAGATATCGGCAAGTATGTGATTTACATTGGCATGATAATACGCGCATATAACCTTCCACTCCTGATTTACTTGTTCGATGTGACAGAGGAAAAATCCTTTTGTTGCGTCAAGTAGTTTTTATCAAGGTAGAAGACTGAGTAACTGTGTTCACTGAAGGCACAACTGCCAGAGTTTACGGCTTAGTGAGGTACCCCATCAGCAGTTCAGACACATATTTACTAAGGTCTCAGTGTAACTTATGGCACAAAAGCAACTGTAGATTGTCGCTAATGCCAGTAGGACTCTTTGAGTAATATGTGGGACTTTCACTAGAACCACCGCTTGCATGATAATCACTATATAACTGCACCTAAGTGGTCTGCACTGGAACCTTATCCAGTTGCTCAAGCCGTGTCCGTAAGGTGACTCAAGCATCCTGGGAAGTCTGTGAAGGATATCTACACGTAGGAACTCTACCATGATGAATCTATGTTACCAGGAAGGACTGAAAGGATTGAATCGCTTCTTCCCTTCAATCCAAAAGGCAGGGAAGATGTAATCACGATAATCAGAATTTTAGGAAGTTATAGCGTACCCGATTTACCTCTTCCTTCTACTAGGTCAGGTCTTATTAGAGCATGGAAGAAGAAGATTCAGAATTCAAGGGGAACTGTTCCTCTGCAGAGTATTGGTTCACTCACTAAGTCACTAACCATAAGTACCAAATATTTAAAAAATGTGTCCACTTTTTCAGTCAAATTGATAAAAAGATAAACAGATGAGTACAGATGCTTGGCTTTAGAGAGTTAACACAGAATTTAAGGTTATTGTGCTCAATCGAAAATTCAGAGGCTGAATGTCTTGTTTTAATGCATTAAGTAATAATACTCTTGATTCGATGGAGCTATTTTGAAACTTGTGCCTTTAGTTCAGTTTTGGATTTTGGAGTAATGTCCATCCCAGGAATAGGAGAAATTACTTCCGACACTTCGTTTCTAACAAAAGTGGTGGATGAATACGTAGTTGGATCGTCATGGACTCAGGAATATTCAAAAAATGATGTTAAAATATGGTCTAAGTGCTCAGACAATAACGGGATCAAGGCTTTTAAAGCCTCTGCACTTTTCAAAGGTGTATCTGGACCTGCATTATTTGATTGTCTTATGGATTCACAATATCGAAAGCAATGGGACAAGGCTATGATTGAGGGTTATGAGTTGTGTCAAGTGAACAGCCAGAGTGATATAGGATATTATTCTCGTAAGCTGGTGTTTAAAGTGACTCATCTTTTCCAATTGCAGTTCGTTCTCCACCTGGTTTACGGAACAGAGACTTCGTTCTACAGAGGACATGGGCGAAATTCGAAAATGAATATGTGATAGCATCCCATTCTGTGTTTCACAAAGTAAGTCGTCCGTGCTGAATGCTTTAACTTTCTTGATATCTAAATGTTCTTCACTATCACCTTTATGTAACCTTCACATAGTGACAGCAATGTGGCATGAAATAAGGGGAATGACCCATCTTAGCCCAGGTGCACTGCAGAGACATAGGGCAAGAAAGACATCAAATGATGTTGGACATAGATAAGGGTGCAGGACTTATTTGTTCTAATATTATCAAATTTCCTAAAGTGCGCTCGTTTTACCTAAAGTGTCAACTACCAGCCAGTAGTCGATTCAGACTCAAATCTGACCAATTAGTAATTCTGTGTATCTTTTCAAACCTATGCAGTTCGTGTATGCTCCAAGTAAAAATTTAAGAAGGGGTGCACATAGGTTAAAACAAGTAGGTGGGTTAAAGGATTTAGATTTAGATAAGAAAACATCTTACAATCAAAATTTACAAATCTGTAAATATATCTGCGTCACTTTCATAGGCTGCTAACAATGTTGTTCTATCAGTGGTTTCACTTAAATTAACCCTGACTAGCTGATATCTTCATGACACAGTTTTCTCACTAACGTAAAGTGTGTTTTACTGTGTTGTGATTAATACATGATACTTTGTAGAAAGTAGACAGATCCAATACGTTGCTAATCGACTCCCGCTTTATGTGCGTTGGTCAGGCCAGATCGCCAAACATGCGTAACTCTGAGAAACTTAAATGACTGCTTCATGACAGACCTATCAAGTGTAAGCTATGCTATGACTTACAGTCACCTTGATAGGTCCAGGCAGGGAAACCACTTCTACTTTTGGGAAAATTTATACCTGTCTACATATTTCTATTACCTTCAAAGCGTTTTCTTTGCCCTTGAACTGTAATTATGTGTTGGCCCTCAGTACTTCTAAAGTCTCATGGTTTTAACTCATCCTCTTAGGGTTAATGAGTATCGCTGTGAGCCGTCATATCAGTTGTCGCTCATTGCATTAGCTTGTTGTGTTTGGTAAATAGATCCTCGAAATCAATGACTGATATCAGTAGGACATAAAGTATTTAAACTTGTTATTTTTGACTTAGTTGCATTAGATGTTCGTAGTCTCAAAGCATTGTCACTTGAAGTACTGATTGTATTCAAACCTGAGTGTTAATTATATTGTACAAGGAATTGTCCAACTTTGAAACCTTCCTCCAAGAATGCTTCTTCCTGCTGGGTAATACCTATTCAGCTAAGTAGGACCACTTGTGTTAAGTATGGTCAGCATATATATATATATATATATATATATATATATATATGTATATATATATATATATATATAATATATCCTGTGACTTTGCGATAGTTTAAAATTTAGATTATTACTATTATTCCCTTGGGTTCCGAGTGGAAAATAGGGCTTCAACAACACATCCCCACTTTGCTCTATTCTCTGCCATCCTCTTCGGGTGGGTCCACGATTGGCCATAATATCTCATCTCATCCTCACACAATTTCCTCCATGTCACCGCACCGACGACTCACTCGTTGCTTCCTACTGGGATTACACTCGAGCAATCGCCTGCATAAATATAAACAATGCATGCGCAAGATCAAGATCTTCTAGAGTCTTCTTTCCAGTGGTGCAGCGTATTCCTGACTCCTCGCGCCCAACAGTCTGACGCATAATCCAAACCACCGTAATTAAGAATATCATCGGTGATAATAGACAGGCAGCCTTGTCTTACTCCTGTATGCATTTCGAACGCATCGCTGAGTTTTCCGTTGTGGATCACCTGACAAGTGGCATTGTCACAACCAGCTGTTGAATGAATTTGATAAAGATGTGGGCACTGCACGCGGTGGTGTTTCCGAATTGCTTCTCGTTCAACATCGTCTGTTGAAGGTTTTTCGAAGTCGACGAAGTTAAGGTACAGGTTTGACTGCTATTCTATATTCTATTTGATGATGATCATGCATAGAGCTGAAATTTGATCAGCACATGATTTGCCTTTCCTGAATCCTGCTTGTTCCGGTTGGTGGAGTTCTGCATCAAGTGCATCTTTTATTCTCTCCATGATGATGCGACTTAGTATTTTATTTGGCTTGGACAAAAGCATTATTCCATACCAGTTCTTGCAGAGGCGTAAGTCACCCTTCTTTGGCAGCTTGACAAGGTAGACAGCCTTTCTTCCAATCGGCAGGTACCTTTCCTTCTTCCCAAACCTCCCCCGACGGGCATTACTAGCTGATATAGGTGCAGGTTGGAAAAGAGTAAGTGGTGGCCAAACAAAAACATGGCATCAATCCATGAAATCCCTGACAGTTAAACTGAGTCAGGTAGGGAGATGCAGACTTCCGGGTTGGGGCCCTCGGTCGGTCGGTCGGTTTTCGACATAGAACTTTGCACATATGTGCGGCAGTTCAAGTCGCCACAGTTGGGGCCCTCGGGACTCTAAGAATGAGTAATGGTAGAAAGGAATATGAAGGTTAAAGAGACTGAATACATCTGCGTAAGCCGTTGACAACGATTTTGAGCCATGTCACGTATTGTCTCCAGCCATTGATTCTTAGGGGCCCTCGGGACTCTAAGAATCAATGGCTGGAGACAATACGTGACATGGCTCAAAATCGTTGTCAACGGCTTACGCAGATGTATTCAGTCTCTTTAACCTTCATATTCCTTTCTACCATTACTCATTCTGTTTCACTCTTATACTCATCTAAATTCTATTGATTCTCTTCTCTCATTTTCCTGTCTACCTTTGTGTGCTATTTGGAACGTGGCAACTCGAACTGCTGCACTTCGGTGACAAGTTCTATGTTGAATCCAGCAGCAGCAGCAGCCAAACCTTTTGTAGAATTGCCGTGAGCACACCTGCCGCAGTTTCTGGGTCCGTTTTCAGTGCTTTGGGGGGGGGGTAATTCTGTCCAGTGCTGCTGCCTTTCTGGACTTCAGTAACTTGATCATATTTAAGATTTCTGCTTTGATTGGAGGATTGGTGTCCACTGACAGGCAGTTCTGTGCGTGCTGTCAGTGATGGTGTTATTTCTGGGCGAGTTGCCGGTGGTGGTTGATTCAAGAATCCTTTAAAGTGATCAGCCCATAGTTTTATTTGTTTCTCCTCCTTGGTAATCTGGTTTCCTTGAACATCTTTTATCGGTTTCATCCTCTGGGTCGGTCTCTTCCCAAATAGAGACCTGGTTATCTGATATAGTGTCTTGATGTCTCTTTCACCTGCAGCCTGCCTGTCTGTTCTGTTTCAGTTACCAGCCAGTGTGTCGTAGAATTGTCTTTTGTCTTTCCTAGCACCCTTCTTCATTTCTTTATTCTGTTGTCTATCTTTGCATTGAGTCAGCTTCTCTTTCACCATTCTCCTCTCCTCTCATCGATTAGCCTCCAGGCAGATGTCCGTTCAGAGCCATTCCTTGTCTTGTCTCTTCTTTCTTTCTAACACAGTCGTACGTTTCCTTGAAAACCACCTTCACAGAGTTAGTTCTAATGTTCTTCCACGCAGGTTTCCTCAGTGATGCCACGTAATGTCTCCGACTTTGCTCTCATATGATCTGTAGTAAAGACATCCCTTGTAGTTTTGTCCTTCAGTTTCTGAATGTTGAACTTGAATTACAGTGGCCTGTCTCCAGATGCTCTGAAGGATTTCAGCTTCACTTTGAGGGTTCCTTGAACCAGATGATGGTCTGAGCCCACACCTGCTCCCTTTCTTGACCTTATGTCCAGCAGGCTACATCTCCGCTTCCTCGAGCAACATTGAGATGAAATCTATTTGGTTCATGGTATGTCCGTCAGTCGAAATCCATGTTGCTTTGTATATATCATTGTGCTCGTACACGCCGGCTGCCTGCGTTGACCAATTCATCGAAAGCGCAGAAGTCTGCGAATACTTCTTTTTTTTTTCTGGTTCATTTCGCTGAGCGAGAGCCTCTAAACCCACGGTGATTTCTCTTTCAGTATTTGCTCCCAGTTTCGCCTGCATTCATATCTCCCATGAGGATTTTGATGTCACCATTTGGGATGTTGTCCATTACTGTTTTTAGTTGTCTGTGAAAATCCTCCTTCTTTTTTTGTTCCGCGTTGTTTGTAGTACTGTGCGTAGCATTGGATGGTTGTGACCTTCCTTCCTTTTGAGTTGAATCTTGCTGTCATGATATTGTAGAAGGAGATTGGCTCCCTTTGCATTAGGTCTTTGGCTGCCACTGGTGACTTCATGATAGCCCGTCACTGCTTCAGTGTGTTCGTGGTTATCGTCTGGTTGACCAGACCGGAGTAGATTACTGACTCTTCAGTTGACAATTTTGACATTCCACATCAATTCCATTTGCTCTCACAGATACCCAGCACTTCTATGCCATATCTTCTCATTTCGTTGACCACCTGGACAGCCTTCCCAGCCAGCTTCGTAAATTGTACGGACATTCCACGTGCCCCATTCTTACTTTTGCTTTCATCGAGAGAAGATACAGCGGCCGGCTGTCACCAGCCAGCCCGCTTTGTCATTTTGCCTCTCCGATTGGAAAGAAGAATAAGATTGTTGTTATTTGAAGTTTTTGTATTTTTAATATATTTTCTGTGTGTTGAAGTTTCTGTAGCAGTTTGATAGGTTAAGTGGTGTAGGCTTGCTAGCCCCACGCCCAACTCTCCTTTACCTGGGTTTGGTACCAGGTCGGTCGGTCGGTTTTCGACATAGAACTTTGCACATATGTGCGGCAGTTCAAGTCGCCACAATCTATGTAGCACGCAAAGCAAGAGAAGGAAGTAGAAGAAATGCATAATATAGACAGTAAACAGAGGTGTGAGACAAAGGAATAGTAATAACGGAGAACGAAACAGTTTAATTGGAAATCATAAGTCACAAGGAGTGGATGCATCTGCGCCATCATCGAGAACGATTTTGAGCCATGTCACCAATTGTTTCCAACCATTGGTTTCTACCGTCCCGAGGACCCCAACCAGGAAGTCTACATTTCCCTACGTGACTTAGACTAACTGTTGTGGATTTCATTGACTGGTGCCATGTTTTTG